AAGTGCAAACGAGACGGCAATTGTGCAAATTGTTATGGGCAGATCGCTCACAGGGGAGGATGGTGGGTAAGGGAGTGCTAGGGTGCTGCAGACAAGGAGACCAGGAGAGACAACACTTCGAAGTTCGAAGTTCGAGCTGCACTTGTCGTCGAGGTTCTCTCGGATCACGCCATGCCGAGGTCATGTGATGAGCAACTGGAGATCCAGCGGAAGGTCCGCTGGAATCCCACATATTTTGTTGAGGACTGGAAATCCACAAGAATACGCACTGGATCTCTACAATCCCAGGAATTCCACTGGCCTGCCACCACCACCTGTCTAGCAGTGTAGGAGGCCAAGAGGTGATGCTATCGATTTTGCTTGAGGGCCTGTGGAGGAAGATAAGATGGTATAGGCCTCGCCACAGGGCAGGAGAAGCGCTCTGATAACGCATAAGCAGAGGCAGAGGCAGTCTGGCTTTCGAGTTGAGTGGCGGAAATATGACGGATTGGCTTGGCACACGATCGACTGGCGTCGATCAAGTGTTGACGGTTGCAGCTGGTGAACATGAACAGGCTGTTTGTTTGACACAAACAGTACAGATCCGAGCAGCCTAGAGACGGGAAGGACACAGGACGTACGGCCTTGCGGCTTCGCCGGGCTGTTTGTGCGACCCCATCTATCTCTGTACGCCTACGTGACATGGCGTCCACACGTCGTTGACATCCTCGTTGTGCCACGGTTTCACCGGTGCACAGTGTGGACTGAGACGGCCAGAAGTGTGGACTGAGAGAAAGTCCACTGAAGGAGTAATTGCAGCCACAGGGCTGGGATATGATGACCAACCCCCAGAAAGTGGGGGCAGCCGTGGGACGAGCCAGGTACGCCTGTCATGCGATGGAGCGACGATGGCAGAATTGGACTAAGTGGGGAACGTAAGTAGCACAGCCGGCCGAAGGATGCAACGCTAGCACGGGGAGCAGGCAGCTAGCGAGCGCAGCGATAGTTTGATAAGTGGTTGCGTCGGAGCCGCGCGGACAGGCGTCCAAGAGCGCATTCCTCCTCAAAGAGGCATGGAGCGGGCTGGCGATCGCTGTTGCATGCGAGGTTGCTATCGTGGACTGCTATATTTGGTGCGGCATCGGGGGAGTCTCTCGGAGGACGGCTGTCGAGGCACGGCCGTGGTGCCTCAACCGGTATGCCAAGCGGCTGATCGGGCAAATGCGATCGGGGGCTTATCGCACCGCTTCGTCGCGACCCCGGACTACGCCAGCGCCCACAACCCAACCACACACGATCGCGACCGGTGCCGACGCTGCAGAGGACGACGAAGAGCACAGGAAACTCGCCCAGGACGCTTGCAGAGTCGTGCGAGTGCCGTGCCGGAGCAGAGCGACGACATCGTGGAGTGCAGAGACGGGCTTGGCCTGCGGCACGGGGAGGGACAGAGGGAGAGGGAGATAAACTCGCGGGCTGTGATTGGCCGATAAGTAGGATGCGGTTCGCGGCCTGTCGTCAAACATATGAACGGTGCGGGGGGCGTCTCAGCCCAGGGCCCGCCCAGTCCGGAGCGCAAAACTGCCAGCCTTTATCTGCACCCAGAAGTTCCCAACCGGTCCCCTTCTTCTTCTCATCCGAACGCCTACCTTCGTTCGTCGCCGTCGCCCAGCCCGACGCGCTCGCCGCACCTCCCCAGGACCGACTCTAGCAGCGCAACCCCGCCCCGCGCAGAGTAGCCATGGTCAACATCACCTACGACGCCTGTGAGTTTCCCCACCTCACTCCCGCGCTCCGTGCGCAGCTACTCACCGCTCCGTTACGTGTACAGCGGAATCCATCGAGTACAATGATCCCTCGGGCACTACGGATGTCTACAGTCCGGGAGACATTGCTTGGGTCCTGACTTCAACAGCCCTCGTATGGATCATGATTCCGGGTGTCGGTTTCTTCTACTCAGGTCTTCTGAGGAGAAAGAACGCGCTGTCCATGATCTGGGCTTCTATGATGACTCTTGCCGTTGTTTCTTTCCAAGTGAGTATACTTCAGTAGATGTGATTGCAGAGACGTCGACGCTGACATGTCGTGCAGTGGTTCTTCTGGGGGTGAGTCCTCCGGCGTAGATGCCATGCATGTGCCAACGCTGACTTGTACCAAAGCTATTCGCTAGCATTTAGCGATACCGCGAGCGCATATATTGGTGACCTGAGTGCGTATATGCGCTATATCTCTTGCAATGCTTTCCGTAACCCACGTATCATCGTAGGGTACTTCGGCCTCAAGGGTGTTCTCGCACAGCCCTCAATAGGCAGCGTGAGGGTCCCCGCGCTCGTCTTCTGTGTCTTCCAGCTCATGTTCGCGGCTATCACGTACGTCCTGATTTTCTATTCACATCTGCCAGTCACCCATCGGCCCACCTGTGTCCAGACCTATCCTCGCCATTGGCGCCATCGCCGAGCGTGGCCGCCTAGGTCCTATCATGGTCTTCGTGTTCATCTGGTCGACAATCGTTTACGACCCCATCGCCTGCTGGACATGGAACTCCAATGGCTGGTCCTTCGTGCTTGGCGGCCTCGACTTCGCCGGAGGAACGCCCGTCCACATCTCGTCCGGTACCGCCGCACTTGCCATTTCCATCTACCTCGGTAAGCGCCGGGGATACGGCACCGAACGCCTTGCCTACAAGCCGCACAACACCACCTACGTGGTGCTTGGCACGGTCTTCCTGTGGTTCGGTTGGTTTGGATTCAACGGCGGTTCTGCCCTTGCCGCGAACTTGCGCGCGACCCAGGCTTGTATCGTGACGAACCTTGCGGCCAGCGTCGGCGGTCTCACTTGGATGCTCTGGGACTACCGTCTCGAGAAGAAGTGGTCCGCGGTCGGGTTCTGCTCTGGCGCCATCTCGGGTTTGGTCGCGATTACTCCTGGGTCTGGTTACGTCGGCTCGCGTATGTGCATCTTTTCCTTCGTGCTACCTGCTGGCCCGTGCTCATCCGGATTCAACCGCTAATGCAGCTGCTGCCGTGCTCTTTGGCGTCATGGCCGGCACGCTGTGCAACTTCGCCACGCAGCTGAAGTTCATCTTCGGTTATGACGACTGCCTTGATGTGCGTACATGGCCCATCCCTCCCTACTGTCCTGCTACGCAGCCGCTAACGTCTACACTCGCTCGCTCAGATCTTCGCGTCACATGCCATCGGCGGCGTCATCGGCAACGTCCTCACGGGCCTCTTCGCGCAGGCGAGCGTCGCCGGCTTCGACGGCAACCTCGCGCCGATCGCGGGCGGCTGGCTCGACCACCACTACGTGCAGCTCGGCTACCAGATCGCGGACTCGGTCGCGGGCATGTCGTACTCGTTCGTCGTCACCACGATCATCCTCTGGGTCATGCACTTCGTCCCCGGCCTGCGCCTGCGCGCGAGCGAGGAGGCGGAGATCCTCGGCATCGACGACGCGGAGATGGGCGAGTTCGCGTACGACTACGTCGGGATCGACCTCGGCAACGGCGGCGCGCACGAGTACCAGGACGACACGCACTCGCACGGCGCGCTGCCCCCGGCGGCGGGCGGGCGGGAGCCGAGGCACGTGGCGGTGCATGAGGCGCGGCACGAGAGCAGCAGCGATGTGGAGCATGAGAAGCAGGCGGCGCAGGCTGCGTGAGCGTCGGAGGGGCAGAAAAGCATGGACGGACAGACAGGCGCATGACTAGAGAAAGAGGCGAGGATCGTAAGGGGGTTGGCAAACAATACATTGGTTGAGATAGGCCTTCCATCTATCGTATAAGCTAATCTATCGTGTAGGATCATAACGTTCACTCTGTTTGTTCGAGCGCGCCGGTGTCGATGTTGGAAGTGTTCCGTGTAGCGTTCATCTCGCACTAATAGGACTACAATTTTTTGCGAAGACAGGGTATGGGAGTGCGGTGACTTGAAGTTCACGTCGGTTCATTTGCAACGGCTCCGGTGCGGGTCGAGTCTACACCGTCGCAAGGGCACTACGTATACGCGACGATGACGCGCGCGATGCGTATACTAGCTCTATAGGCCTTTGGAAGTTTTCCGAACCTGCGTTTGACCCGACTTCCCAGGCCCTCTCGAATGAGCTCTGCACTGCTGCATGCATCTACGGGGGTGTCCGGAGAAGGTCGGAGCGACGTCTGCACTCGCATCTCCCATGCCATCACCGCCTGTGGCTTGGACATCCTCGCCGCCGCCACGCCGGTGCCACAGCACCCGTCTGCTGCAAGCCAGTGTCAGAGTTGGCATGTAGCTCGTACAAGGCGGTCCAGTCTCCTTGACCAACAATGAATCAATGCGTCAAGGCTTGGCCCACAAGGGGTATCGCGCTGTGGTCAAGTGCCAGTTGAGAGCAGAGGTGTGCGGGTCAAGACTCGACCCCTTGACCCTCTCGGCTTGACCCCGACTCGGGGTCTGACCCGGGTCTGACCTTTTCGAGGGGTCAACACGTGATGCACGGTCGGCCCTCGCGTAGAATAGTCGACCGCGTACTACCGAGAGCGCCGGAAGGGTGAAAGTGCCCAGCTGGCAGCGCAAGGCAGACTCATAAGTATGCCACATTGGCGGCGTGATGTGCTAGCAGTAGATGTCGTTTGTGTGTGTTCGCTCGTCCTTGCTGCTCCTGCGGGCGTGGAGGTCGGGTAGTGCGTCTGCGCTGCGCCTTGCACCTCTCCGAGTCCTCGCTGGTTTCCCGAACACACTCCTCTGGGTCGGCATCCATCTTCACCATGACAAGTCTCTCGCAGCGTTCCTGAAGGCCATCGGTTTCACCCTCCCGCTTATGGATGGCCGAGACGTTGCCAGTGGGCAGTTGGAAAGAACAGTTCGTGGCCGCTACAGGCGAGCTCGCTCGAGCAGTGAGTGGCGAACGGCCGGCCGACCCGGCGATTCACGTGCCCGGAAGCTCCGACGTTGATGTCGCCTTGGCTTGACCCAGGGTCTGACCCCAAGGGGTCTGACCTGGCGGGTCAGCCAAGCACATGTCTGGTTGAGAGCGTCCGCCCGGGGCTTTAGCGGATGAGCATGATTTATGTTGAAGCCCGGGGACGAAGCTGGGGTGGCGTCTGCATCCCATCTTGGATATGCTCTGGCAATCTCAAGTGTCATGAGCATCATGGAGTGCCTGCATAAATTGGGGAACGGTTGAAAGCGATCTGTTGTTGAAGGCTTTGGCGCTTGTATAAAGCCTTCTAGTTACTCGGGCCTTAACTTCTTGAGTTGACAATTCAGGTTGGGGGTAGTTCTTTGGGGTGACCCTGACCTACTCACATCTAGGGTTCAATTGTACGACCCAATCATGAAGATCGCAAGTCTGCAGCATGCATAAGAGGGGTCTTGTTGATAATGGCGCTGCGCTCAGAAAAGACCGCAAGGTTTCGGTGACGAAAACAGCACACATAGTATTGATCATGTTACTTCTTCCAGGTACTACCAGTACCGCCCGATATATATCACAGCAAAGAACGAATCATCCAACTCTCTAAGCAACCATCTAAGAGTCGTCGTCGTCGTCGTCGTCGCCACCGAAGTTGGTAGCAGGACCGTCGAACTGGACGGACTCGCAGTCCATGCTGCCGTCCGAGCAGTGAGGGATGAGAGTCTCCTGGGCACCGGCTGTAGGGAAGAGTCGCTGTCAGCGCCACTGCATGATACGGCGACCGCGAACAGAAACCATGACACTCACGGTCGGTGGTGAGGGACGGGAACGGCTCGGTCGTGCACGAGAGCTCGAGGTCGTCGGGGCCCAAGGTAGCCGGGAACGTGGCGGGCTTTCCGGTGGCGGGCAGGGGCGTGGGGATGACGGCGGAGCAGTTGACGAGGTCCGCGGCGTTGTGGCCGAGGACGGCGAGCTTGGCCATGGCAGCCTTGAAGGACTGGGCCATGAAGTCCTGCTGGTTGACGAAGCCCTGCCAGAAGCACGCGGTGCGCGAGTCGTGGGCGAGGCCGAAGTCAGATTGGAGGCGGAGCTCGCCAACGTCGGTGCCGTTCGTGACGGGGATAGGAGAGGCGACCTCGCCGGTGTTGTTGTCCGTTCCGGGGAAGCCGGTACCCTTGAGAAGGACCTCCAGGAAGATCTGGGTGTCAAAAGTGAAGGGCGTCTGGGAGGGTATGACCTTAGAGAGCATTTCGAACAAAGGAGATCACGTTACTCACACTGTCGAAGGGCGCAGCGTCGAGCGTGGGGTCGACGTGGTCCGCACGGGCGACGGTGTGCGAAGCGAGGAGGGAGACGACCTCGAAGGGCGTGAAGCCTCCTGCATCGTCGAAGCGGGCCAGAATGTCGTCGATGCTGTCCTGGGGCTCTGGGATGAGGCCGTCGATGGCGGGGGCGGTACCGTTGGGACGACCGGCAAGGAATTCGAGCTGAGGTGCACCCTAATGAAGAAAAGTCATTAGCACGGCAAGTCACGTGGTGTGAGAAGAACGGTATGTACGCACAGGGCAGTTAGTGATGGCGACAGCACCTGCGAACTGGACGAGATCACCGGGGGAGATGTTGGGGAACTGCGACATGAACGGGATCAGGTTGTTGACACTGTCGGCGATACCGAGATTGGCGAAGAAGGCCGGCTCGACGGTTGGGAACAGGAGCATCGAACCGTCAGCTCCTCCACCACTGCATATCAATTGTGATCAGCTCCGGACTTGTCATAGAGCTTGGCTGCTACTCACGCCGAGGGACCCAAGCTCTGCGAGATGGCAATGGCATCGTCTGCGCAGTATGTTTAGTACCTCACCGACGCTGTACGAATGCAGAGGGCTTACGGAAAGTGAGACGGAGAAGCTCGTGAGCTGGAGTAGTAGAGCGTGAGACCGTGATCATTACTATCACATACAATCGACCTACCATCTTCACCACAATCGCTCTGGATGACCTGGTCGTTGAGTGCCTCCCTGAGCTACATGGCATGTCATTTGAGTGTCGAGCATATCACAGCGTAGCGCAACCACGACCTACCGGAATGAACTCGCAGCACACTGAGTCTGGAACTACGGTGCCGTCGGAACAGGTGACTGTTGACTGAGTTGGCGCAGCACTCGCCAACGTAGCGAGGGTGACGAGGGCGAGGATGGACGACCACTTGAAAGCCATTGCGTATTCTGGAGAGCGGTGTACTGCTGAGTAGAACGCGAAGTCCAGAGGGGGATCCGAGCAGAGAACTGGATGTCCTGGGGCAGATGTCTGTACTCTGGTCATCTTTTATACCTCTTTGCTGCAGTTATTTTCGCGATTAACACGGAGGAGAGGCGGTGGTGGCACTGACCGACAGTTTGTCGCGTTCACAAGGATGTGGAAACAGAAGGGCGATATGGGGACAATTGGGGTATCGTTGTATGTCTCCTAGCGATCCATAGCATTGGGCTGGGGACCACCACAGAATGTCGTGCCAGGCAGGTTGCCAATCAGACGTCGAGGGTTTGAAAATATGTCAGAAGAAGTCACCGTGGGCAGCATACTTGGCAACGAACGGACCTTAGCTTCGGCATATGCACGATGCGCCTACGCGTCCATGGGAGTGGGGTTCGGCTATCGCATCGACCGCAGAACAGTTTCGCATACATGTTCTATTTAGCACCGCGAAGTACTTACATATTTATGGCTATTCATGGTAACGGATGTGCGCCTTGTTCGTCCTAGGATATATCAGGAGATAGTGCCATTTCCTTCGTCGCTGGCGGGGCTCGAACATAGCTTGGGAACGTCCGCAAACCGCGAGAGCGGCTCAGAACTACGACAAAGTGCTGCTCAATGATGCTTGACGAAGTGCATATTCGTGAGCTCATCTCTTCCGCCACTTGTAGGCGCAAGCTGCCTCTTGGCAAGGATCGCACAGCCGCCGATCTCCGGGGACTCCGTCGGTTCCGTTAGGTGCCTAGCGGAGACCCAAGAGATTTGAACCGCGTTTCCTGATTGGCAGTCTGGATTTACAGTTTCAGACCTGTTCGTATTGACAGGTACAGTGTCGGCCGAGAAAAGCACAAGAATGATCTCGTGGCGATTCTACAGCGATCCAGGGGCAACAACTCTATGTCGCTCTCGAGAACTCCCATGGTGCCGAGCAGCGCATTTACTGGACCCCAATTCGAGCGGAGCAGAACGCGCGGGGACGTACCTCGAAGCTCTCCAAATGTAAGCAACCGCAGAATATGCATCGCAATGCCAGCCTTCTACGATGGGTATCAGACAATGCAGCTGGAAATGTTGATTTACGGTGAAGGAAGCTGCTAGGGAAGCATACGGTGGATACGGGAAAGTTGAGAACTTTACGTGGTGGCTTGTTGGTTGTTGAGTGGCAGGACATTCGTACTCCGCTATACAGCCGCCAGGTGCCGAAAGTCAGTTGCCGCTAGCGCTTTCACTTATACCTTGGCTCTGCCGAGTCGCTGAAGGAAGTGGTATCTTGTTTTCCTCACTTTAGCTCATCTATTCTTTGCACCTTGAGAGGCTTGTCGATCGGTTGCGGGAAATTCAGTCCAACTGGAGCCGCTCCCTGATAGATGCTTCCCACTACCTAAGATGCCGACCCCTTTGCCCGTGAGACGCATCTACACTGGTGGGGCTACCGTGAGGCGGCACCGAACGCGACTAGTACTATAGGCGGAGCATTTCGGCTACCACTGACAGTTCTCTGATTACTATTCGTCGCCGCTCCTATTTGCTGTTGCAATCGGACTATGGAGGCATCCTGTGGACAACAAAGTTGTGACCCAAACCTGAGCAGGTATGTTTGCAGATAACTTTGCGGGCCCAGATTAGTGGTCAGAGCTGGCACGAGTTTTACCGTGCTAGCTGTGCTTTCCGTTCAATGTTAGTCAAAGTCATTCATTCGCCGATATTATACTCCGTATCAGCGAACAAGAACAAGTGTGGCGTGGACATTACGCTATGCTTGAAACTACTGCTGGTGGTAGATTCGTGAAAGTCACTGAGGCATTTGGGGCTGAGTAGGGATTGAACGGCTTGTCTCTACATGGTTGAAATAACCGCTTACCACCGTTCTTAGATTAGGATTTGGATTAGTCCTTATGACAGCATCACCATGCTCGAGGACACCATTGCCCGCTCACATGGCTGTAATACTCTTCTACCCCATCCAGACGCCTGAGTTCTGTGTCAACACATTTCACGTCAACGGAGTCAGCGGCGTTCCGATGTCTGCTGGTCATCCTCTCTGAGCTACTTCGGTTGTTGCACTAGGTCTACGCTGTCTCTTTCTGTCGATCGTGCGCGATGTCAAGCATCTTGGCGCTGCTCACCTTGGACGAAATCAATGTCAGCCAATCGCATCCCCTGTCGCAGTGAGACCGCAGACTCTACTCGAATACATAGAGTACGAATCAAGAGCATAGTGAGTAGATACTACATAGAGCTGCAGCGTACGCAACTATCTTATACAGAACGAGCCATTGCATGGACTCAGGATATCACAGTGGATCATCCCGCACCCATGAAAGAGAATACCCAAGTATCCCACGAGCGATGTTGTGGCTCAGGTGTGGCTGGTTAATCTCCGCTCATCGTGGTGCGATGTCCGCAGCATAGGTATAGACAACGAAAGAAGGCCAGAGGTATGAGGATGTGAAGACAGGCCTGACAGCGTCAGGTGAGAACGATTGAACCTAGAACCTACGCAGTGACCCGGTGATACCGTACCGTCGACACACGTCGATCGAGCGCGGCAAACGCAGCGTCGTTCAGCTGGGCAAGGGGCCCGGAGAACATGGCCTCTTGCCCTAGAGAAACGACGACGCCCCGGAGTCCGGAGACGACATCACCCATGGAGCGCATGATCGAGATGCTTGTCGCGCTGTTCAGCGCGCCGTTGACTGAGCGCAGGCATTCGTGGATGCGCACAGACAGCTCGGCAAGGGACGCGCGCGCAGTCTCGAGCGCACGAGCATCGGCAGCGAGGTCTTTGGCCTTCTGCCTGAGCGCGTCTATGCGGGAACAGAGGCGGAGCCCCTCCGCGCGTTCGTTCTCGAGTTTTTGGGTCTGGACCTGCAGTTGATCACGAGCGGTCCGTAGTTGCGACTCGAGCCGAGATACGATTTCCTTCTGTTCGTCAACGGGCGCTTGGAGCGCCTCGCGGTCCACGATGGCTAGGACGTCGACAAAACTAGTTTCTGAGGCTCGGGGTATGAGGGCGATTATAAGGGCACCCTGAGTGCAACAACAACAATGAGCTTTCCGGCACATGCGGTGAGGGACTGGATACCTACCCCTAAGCGTGCAAGATCTCGCGTTCTCGTTTTCCTCTCTAAGCGGGACTCGGCCCTATCGAGCTCGTGTTCTGCCTGGTGGAACTCTGCGTTCAGATTCACGATATGGGCGTTGAGGATCTGGATACGCTCCTCCGTGGCACCAGCGAGATAGTCCGCCTCCCCGAGCTCGAAGGAGGTCTTTTGGAGGGCGTCCTCGACGTCACGGCCTTCGCCCAGGTTCCTCATGAGGCGCTCTCCCGTCTCCATGAGCCATCGAGAGACCGTGGCATGAGCGGAACCGAGGCTCTGACCGAAAGGCGTCAGTAACAGTACCAGAGTGGGCGCGAAGACTCACCTCGACCACCATCTGGCTAAATGCAAGAAATTGCCCAAGCGTTGCCTGAGGGTAGTTCTTCTCGATGAGCTCCGACCCGGTCGTCGGTCGAGTGTTGTCCTGAAGTAGTACGACAACGCCGTTGAGGGCGCAGATAGCGCGCTGCACGTCTGAGACAATCAAAGGCTTGTAGTCGGAGTCCATGGTGCGTAGGGATGCAACGCAGACGAGACGAAGACCCACGGCCCTGGACCCCTACTTAAGAGCAGGGGTATAACAACTTCGAGCGGACGTCGTGCACGTGTATGCGGCATGGTGATTTTGGGTTGATCGTCCGGGCCTGAACTGGCAAGGCACTAATAGTGACATATTCCACATACGGTGAGGGAAGGAGGGCGGAGAGCGAGTGGCTTCTTTTGTCGCATGCAGCTGTCATATCGAGTATTGTGAAGCCTCAATGCACGGGGGGCAGGGCAGATGTACTTTTTCTGTGAAGGCGGTGGCATCGGCTGTCCTAGACTATAAACAGCTGACTCTGCGAGGCAAACTGCGGGATCGTCATTCTTGAGGGGTCGTAGCCCACGGAATTTCTCCGCTGGAAGTGGGCAAGAGAAGAAAGACTGATACTTGCGCAGGCCCGGGCTGAAGCGCTGAGCGCTATGCTATGGTCAAGCCGAGAGTGCTGGTGTACAAATATATCCAAACTCACCGTGGGCGTCCATATGAGCGCTTCTTACTGCATGTAAAGAGGCCTCTGCTACTAGGGAGCGACGTTCTGTACACATGCTTTGCGCGACTCTACGCTGGTCAACGCTCAGTCAATATTCTTCGGTATTGCTCAAATAGGACTTTGTGCGCTTGTCAGTGGGATACGGATGTCGCCTCCCAGCGATTCCGATGAAGTCGACTTCTCATCGTTCGCGTCGTGGGACCGGATGCGCTGTGTTGCGTACTGTCTACTCTGACGCTCTTAGCTCCGAGACTTATTGGCTTTGCAACGGCTCTATAACGCAGTGATACAAGGACGCTTCTCCAATTAGAGGCCAAAGTGTCGACCTGACGCTTCTTGGAAAGTGCGGGCCCGGCGGCTCCGCGTCAGCACAGACATACATACAAATCGATGGTCTTTGTCGGAACCTTCGACGATGCCGTTGTCTGTGCATCCGCTTGAACCATTTTATATTCCTTGTGAGTCCAGTCCTTGTATCCCGTCTTACCTACTTAACTCATTGGTCAACGCCAAGCAACGTCCGACAATGACGGTGCTTCCACGGCCGTTGACGTCGCTTGCGAAACTCGGACCGGTTCAGAGGGACTCCACATACACATCACCAACGACTTGCTACAATTGGCACCTAGTTCCTGGCTTTAAGCTGGGCGATGCCCAGCGATGTCGCATCACCGGGCAGATCAGCCTGTTTCACATCCTTCCAATTAGTCCGGTCTATAGAACATCAACTCGGAAATGACAGCCCTAGCGTCGGAAGATGATACTTGCAGGCTTCATACGTCATTCCTGTCACATGTGTCTAACGCTAGCTCCGACTTCCATTCAGCCATGAGTGTGGTTAATCGAGTGCGATGCACCCATTGACAGTGTCCCATCTTCCCCACATCCAAATACAATCTTAAGCAGGCAAGCCCTCCTCTCCTACGACATATTGACTCTAATGATTCAAGTCGTGCCTCAGGCTTCGTAGCATGACCACTGACGACAGTCTGTCTTGTGAAGGAGCCGAAATAGTTCACGGACGATCTCGGCTTGGGACAAAGGTCTGATGGAGAGAAGAGCTTGGGAGGAACCGACTCTACCGGTGACATCGGATGCACGGTCAATCAGGAATGGGCTGCCAAACACCGAATGACGCTCTTGGCGCATACGCAAATCTTAGCGCAACATCGGTACAGGTCTGGCCCAAAAGCTATATTAGCGTCGCCTTTGGCCTTCGAAGCAGACCAGTATAGCCAATTCTCTCACTTCAGCACTCGCAGTCGATTTCAACGGCCACCATGAAGTTCACTCTCGCCGCCACTTTCGTCTCGACCATCTTCCTCGTCGTTACTGCTCTTCCTCAGCCCGATGCACCCCGCCTCCAGGTACGTGCGATAGCTCATCTGACTCGTTCCTAGCTAACTCATCATTGGACATAAACAGCGTCGCACTTGCAATTTCCCTACCGTTCCTCTCCTCCGTGCCTTCAAACCTTCGGTTACGGACCACTACTACACGACCAATGCCACTCTGATGAAGAACGCGGTGGCCAACCTAGGCTTCGATCGCGAAGGAACTGCCGCGATCGTTCATCCCGACCAGACCCCGATCACGATCCCGCTCTACCAGCTTTACAGCCCTTCTTGGACGGACCACTTCTACACTACCTCGGCCAGCGAACGCGACAACGCCGCCCAGAACCTCACATACTTCGAGGAGGGCATCGCCGCTTACGTGTACGAGACGCAGTTGTGCGGTACCGTGCCGCTGTATAGGATGTACAACCCGTCGTCTACGGATCACTTTTACACGACCAACGCGACGGAGAAGGACAACGCTGTCAATAAGCTGGGGTACCATTACGAGGGGATCGCTGCCTATGTCAACCCTCAGCCCTGAAGTGAGTTTTTCGCTGCCGAACCATACGTCGCACTCTAACGAGATGTGAATTCTGTAGATCTCTGTCCTGCCAAGCTAGCGACCAAATGCGTCGTAGCAAACGATCGGGCTACGTGGACTGGGGGCTTTGAAGTATTGTCTGCTGTTCCCGTCCAGATTGTCGCTCCTTCGGATAGTACACAGTCTGTATCTGCCTAATAATATCTTTGAGCAATTCCGAAGCCATCTCGGCCATTTTCGTCCGCGTATGGATGAAATCAACACCTTCCCCAATTTGCAGGTGTCGAGGGATTGTGAAGTTTGAGTCAAAGCACGCTGGCGGCTGCATCAGTAATCGGAGCGCCGGGCAACACCCTAGAAAGCCTACTGTATGCATTAGTCGATGTGCATCAACTGGATTGTCTGGCACGAGCCAGGAAGTAATCTGGGCAGGCGGCGAACCTAGAGCACGCAAGCATGGTAACATGTCAGAGTATCATACAGACAATGATACCTCTCCAGCCCATGGCCGTGACCATCTTGTCTTCGGGCTTTGTCGACCTCTACCCGCAGCGCCGGCATGTTCCCAGTAGACGTGAAGGAGCGCTGGAGGATATCTTCTGGAAGAGGGCTGCCGAGTTGAGAACTTTGGGCTACGAACTTTCCAATAAGGTAAGGAATGGAAAGTCTTAAGAGAGTGCGATCTCAATAGGCTAGCGTCAGCGTTGGCAGTAGGGTATGATGTCTGCGGTTTCACGACCTTGAGCGTCGAGTACCCGTATTCAAGGGACCATTAACTAGAGCTCCCTCGTCCAGGCACTGCGGCGACCCCTTCAGTATACAAGACTGAGTTATATGTGATCAAGTAGAAAAGGACGATTAGTCCTTGATGAGCTAACAGCTCACGAACTCACCCCTCTTCGAGAGGTGGTCTGCTAATGCTGAACTTGAACAGAAGAAAGCCTCGAGGCTGTAGCGCCGCGTCGGCGTGGTGTGCCGGTGTACAAATAGGGCCAAGCATCGCCGCGGATTCCACTGACCCGAGCCTCAAGTCCGTACATGCCGCTTTCGTGACTACACATACGTATACCCTGTTCGACGCTCATCTGCTGGTGTGACGATGCTCAAACGCCCCCTACAGGTTGCAATGTAGTGTTATGTGAGTTACTTGAATCCCAGCTCTCCGATAATATCTGACCGTGCTAGTTGACTGTATGTAATGCAGGCCGCTTGCGTGTATGTGCCCAGTATTGCTCTGAGCTCTACGTTTTATGTGGCTTGCGACAGGCCTGTAGTACAGTACCGTGGTATGACACATAGTCAACTGACGCATCTCGGATAACGCCGTACAGCCAGATACTCACTGAAATCGACAGTCTCCTTGCCTCTTCGGATGGTAGTGCTGGTTGTGGCCACGTTGAAGCTTAACCTGGATAAAATGTCCTGTGAGTCCATCTCCTGCAAGGGGTTACCGGAAATATGACCTCAATCGCGAACATCAGGCAATATCTGGCGATATCGGTGCTTCCACGGGTGGTGACGTGGCTGCGAAACCCGAGGACAGATCCCGAGGCCACCGCACAAACACACCACCAATGACGTGCTACCATTGTTACCGAACCCCTGGCGTGTGGCTGTATTATGATCCGCCAGGATGTACGCTCCCATTTTACCGAACATTGGTCTACCCGTGGCTGGTCTTCCATCGGAAGGGCGCAAGTAGTGCGGACATAGCGTTGTGTGCGTAAGTTCGTCTATTGAGTAATCGACCACTGTTAATTCAATACATCACCGGACACATCAACTTCTTTCGCCTTCGTCTTCCAAGGGACCGGGTCTGCATAACATGAAAGTGACAGCACTAGCGTCCTAAGATGATCCTTGGATGTTCTGTAAGCCATGCCTCTGATGTGTCTGACGCTAGTCCTAACTTCCATTCAGCCATGAGCACGGCTGATCGAATGCGATTCTATAGACTTATCATCGGGATGTCCAACTTCGGTCTTCCCTACGTCGGTTTCTGTGCCACCCTACAACACATTATCTCTAACCGGTAGTCCCTTCGACTTTGCAGTACAATCACTGAACTCTGAAGCTGGGAGAAACGGTCGACGAACGACATGAGCTTCGAAGGCATCCATTACACCGACTCTGTCGGTGACAGCCATTGCAGTCTGTCAACGGGGAATGGGCAGTGAAACACCGGAGGGAACCCTTTTACTGACTTGCACCCGCTGAATTAGCATCGGTCTGGCTCTTGCTACGAAGTATATAAGCATCGCCTGGACCGCTGGAGTAGACCAGTGCCCCGCCAGTCATCACTACAGTACTCCAAGTCAATCTCAATTGTCGTCATGAAGTTCACTCTGGCTGCCGCCTTCATCTCCACCATCTTCCTCAGTGCCACCGCTCTTCCTGAGCCCGAGGCGGCCCGTCTCCAGGTGCGTGTGGCAGCACATCCTATTCAACCTTGTCTAAGTGATGACTGCATGTAAACCAGCGTCGCACCTGTAACTACCCTACCGTTCCTCTCCTCCGAGCCTGGCAACCTGTGGTCGCGGATCACTTCTATACCACGGACGCCACTGAGATGAACAACGCGGTGGCCCTCCTGGGCTACGACCGAGAGGGTAACGCGGCGACGGTTCATCCCGAGCAGACCCCGATCACGATCCCGCTCTACCGCGTCTACAACCCCGTTATTTTCGACCACTTCTACACCACCTCGGCCAGCGAACGCGACAACGCCGTCCAGGCCCTTGGGTACTCTGATGAGGGCATCGCCGCTTACGTGTACGAGACACAGCTGTGCGGTACCGTGCCTCTGTACAGGATGTTCAACGCCGTCGCCACGGACCACTTTTACACGACCGACGCGGCTGAGAAGGACAATGCCGTCAACGGAGGATACACTTACGAGGGTATTGCGGCCTATGTGAACCCTCAGCCCTGATGTGAGTTTTTGCCGCGGATTTGCGAATACCGCTCTAACCAGAAGTGGTTGCCTCAAGTCTCTTTCTTTCCTTCTTGACTAGCGACAATATGTGCCGCAACAAACGGTTAGGCTGCACGGAGGGTGTCGAGGTGTTGCTGTGTTGCTTGTAACTCAGATTTGAGACCACCACTCCTTTGGTTGCTTCTTATTCTACACCTGCGTAATCATATTCCACGGAGATCAGCGCCCTTAGTGATTCTTCATCTGGGCAGGAGGAAATACGGCAGAAGAGCTGACCTGCACAGGTGGCTATGATTGATTGGTGAAGGCTTTACTCATTTGACCGTATCTCGGTCTAGTGCACGTCACAACTAGTCAAACGTCAGAGGAAGGTGGGACGAAGCTCGATGGTCGTCGATGAGCGGTCGAGTGTATATGCCCAAACGTGGTGCACGTATTTGGGGCACAGTGTCAGGTTTCCATGCAGAGTTGCGGCAGGGCATCGCTCGGTTAGACAGCTTCCATATAAACCCGAAGCAGGAGCACGAGGCAGTGTCAGCTTCCCGCTGTCTGCTCGGATTGTGTTATGCATACAGAGGATTATTAGGATTTTAGGTACCACTCCCACTTCGTTTGATGGCATGGCATACAAACAGCGGACGTCGCCAAGATGCGTCGCAATCCCTGCTAGCGTCTGAACAGGTCAGTATCCGTCAGATCGGCCGTCAATCAGTGCGCACCTAGTGATGCCTGATATAATCCCGTTCATGTACGGTGTTAGCTAGGCTATGGTCACGACGAGGGTGGTAGACGGATTCATGGGACAAGTGGCGAAAGATAACGTGATGTCGTGGAAGAAGTTCATAATGCCGTAGAATTCCACCGACAGCTTGAAGACCTTCTTGCGGTCCGGCCACTGGCAAATGTGGTCCTCAGAGCAAGTGTGTTCGGGGACGTTCGGGGGTGATTGTCCTTGGTAGAATCTCAGCGTAGCCCAGTGCGGATAGTCCATCCGAGATGTGGACTGGCATCGGCCAAGGGATAGGATTATGACTGCCTTGTCGTTGATCTTATGCTTGAACGCAAGGCTCACCGGTGGCGAGCCGTTCCAATCAAAATCTACTCTTGTGAGTGTTTCGAGCGACCATAGATGTTGTCGTAGGAGACGCTCCAGTTCTTCTTTGCAGAAGCGGAACGGCGTGGACAGGTTTCGGTTGAGGAGAAGCCGCGGACCGGCGCCCGCGTCTTGCCGAGCCTGCTGGATTATATAGACAACCTTCCACTCTGCGAAGACGCCATTGACGCCCCTTTCGATGAAGTCATCGCTGAGCGCCACAGTGCGAAATCGATCCACGCCTGGATGGTAGAGGGGGCGATGGGGGTCTGGGGCGACGGGACATGACTGAAGCAACAGGCCAAGAGGCTTTCCGTCCTTGTTAGCGCAACACAGAACGGCGACCGAGTAAGATGGATACTCGAATAGCATGACATGGGCACGAAGGCCATAAGGAGTGACGGAGAAAGTGGGAAGCCCCGGTTGGACAAAGTCAAGTGCGTCTAAGAACACTTCGGTTTCCCCGGTGGAGTCGCTGTATACACCAGACTATGCCATTATTGTAAGCATACACAGCATGACCGGAAATGTACAAGTAACCTACCGAGATTGGCTCTCCCTGAGGTAGAGGTGGGCTACGGGGTGGGTTGAAGGAGATTTGGTTACAGGAAGCGAAGGCTGAGGGAGACATGGCAAGTAGACATGACTTGTCATCGTGGATGTGGGAGTGACGGGAGGACTGGGGAGACGGTGGCGGCATAGACGGCACTGGCCAGCACTGGCCCCAGGCGAACAGGGAAGTATCAATTGATCGCTTCAAGATTTCCTCCTGAAGCCGCGTGAACGCCTCGCGGCCTTCGCCGTACAACGTGGGCATGTTGATGCCGAAGATGCCCATCAAGCAGTACGCCTCGTCCTCCTCCTTGGTCGTTTGGCGAGTCGCTGCCCAGGACATCCTTCGGGCTGCGGATACGTTGGAAAGCTCCTCTTCTAGTCGAAGGACTTCTACGGGGACCAGGGTAATCTCCTCTAGCAGCCTAGCCAGTTCGCCCTTCGTCCCCAAAACATGCCAGTCGCTCGAAAGGAAGATGACGATATCCGGCGCGATCAGCTCTTGTAAGGTCCAACCGCGAGTATGCCACCTGCTTCTACGGAATGCGGAATCTCTGCTCGAAAGAATCCCACCCTTTGGTACGTCCTTGAGGTATGCATAGCACACCTCAGCGAGGCCGTAGAAGCGGTACATTGAGTTGATTGACTCGGACAGCTCAGAGCTGCTTGTTTTGTCGATGCAACATGTGTCAGCCCACAGCCACTTGTAGCCATGGCGCTCTGCCAGGAAACAACTCTCTCTGAGCTTCGAACATACGCGATCGCGAGGGTTCTCTCCGGTGAGAGCACACTGCGCACGTAGCGAGCAAAGATCCTGGTAGGTCTGTTCGTAGGGGTCCCAAACATGAGAGAGGATCGCGTATCCTCCCGGTACGGCTTCAGGCGACGCGAAGTAGTGCAGCTCAGCGCGATCGGTACTCAGCAATCGCATAGCGGAAGGGAAGATGTCTTGTGCAGGCAATTAGCGAACGTTAGGCAAGCATGACAAGTACTAGTGAGAGACGTACCATGTAGAGAGCAGAGACAACGTGAGTCACGTATGTAGGGCTATAGGAGCGAAGACGAATGGGAGAGGATTGTATATCGATGAGCATTGATACGAAAGACGTCGAGAAGGAGAATAGCGGAGGAGACCGGCATCGTAGCACAGCCGCTAATGAAACCTTCCCTGGCTTCGATTGTCCAGCAGGTGTCAGCGATTGTCTCTCTACCCCGTCAGATGGTCTGAACGTCAGACTGTGCTGGACATCAAAGGATCGCGTTCGGTATAGACACCCGAAGTGTATTACGAGAAGGAGGAGAACCAGGAACGAACCGAAGTGCTTGTTCTGATTGTGCAACTGTGAGTGATCACCAGTCCCGTGAGATTTCTATGTATAGTAGCACAGAACTGATGCTGCTGCACTAGAAGAAGGGACATCCCAGTCACCCTTTGGCGGGCTCAGTAGGACTGAACAAACAATGTCGGACGACACAACCAAGACAGCTCCGAGGGAGGGATTCACGGGAAACCACGCAAATTGTAAGGGACCCCAGACAGTCGCTATGTAGCGAGTGTACGCGCGTCTACACCATATCAACTTCCACTGTCCCATGCCACCTTCCTAGTGGTGATCGCTCTCATCGCAACCTTCTTTGCAGATGATCTCGCAGACTGTTTTCTCCTATGCAGCAATCGTCCGCACGAGAGTGACTATCAGGATAAAGTGTAAACCCCGCTAGCAGGCCTAGCTAGCTCCTACGACTATCTGTCCACGCCCAGCTCAAGAACCAGTATGGGCATGACATTCATCAGTAAAAGTCAGCGGCAACACTGTAGCGTCCACGTACTGCGAACAATATCCGCCGAGAACACAAGGTTTGGAGTTTACCTCGATGCGCGCGCGTGATCTACACTGTCGACTACTCCCTCATGCAGACCAACCCGCATACGTTTGCGCCGACCTAATGGCGGATATCAACCGCAGCGAGTCAAAATGTGCAGAGGTCCTCGTGGGAGATGGCCACGTCGTCTCTCTCACGACACCATCTTGTCACGAGACATGACGATAAGAAGGGCGATATATACTTCTTTCTCAGAATGACCACGGACAGTTTCGTTATCTCTTCGTCGTCAAGATGAATGCCTCACCTCCTAAAGAGAAGAACGCGGCCAATGTCCTCGAACGCGAGGTACCCTACAAGGGTGAAGACTTGGACGAAGCGGCGCTCAACGATGATGCGGCTTTGGCCGTATTGGGGTATCGGCAGGAGTTCAAACGAGGATTCAGTCCTATGGAGATTTTTGGTCTGAGTTTCAGCATTATCGGCCTATTTCCATCTATCGCGTACGTTGTTGTGCCGATTCAAATGAAGCTGCTGCTAATGAAGCGAACCAGCTCTGTCTTAGTATTCGCAATACCGTACGGCGGGCCCGTCGCCCTGGTTTGGGGAGTAAGTGCATGTAGTCTTCAAGCGGTACAGTCTCTCACCTTTAATTCTTTCAGTGGGCGACCTGTTCCTTTTTCCTTGTCCTCATCGCCTTGGCCCTTGCGGAGCTGGCTTCAGCAGCACCAACCTCCGGAGGGTTATACTACTGGACGTGGGCGTTCGCAAGCCCGCGGTGGAGGAACATTCTAGCATGGATAGTGGGATGCGAGTATGCTGACACGAGCAGCCTCCGCTTGACATTGATTTGTTTGTCGATGCAGACTCCAACTCGATGGGCTTAATCGCTGGAGTGGCATCCATTGACTGGGGGTGCGCGGTGCAACTGATGGCAGCCGTCTCTATTGGCAGCAACGAAACCTTCGTGCCAACGACAGCGCAAACATAGTATGTCGTCGCTTTGATCCAGGATATCCGGTATTCAATTGGCATGCTATCATCAAGTGGAGTATTTGTCGCAGTTCTCCTATGTCATGCTGTAGTGGGGTCGCTTGCCACACATGTGATTGCACGTTTACAAAACCTCTATACGGCGGTGAACATCCTGTGTGTATTCGTTCCATTTTTTGATGTGGACGGTGATTTATGGCCTTGAATACCAGCCTCTGCCTCGCCATAATCATCGCGTTGCCTGCGGCGACCCCAAAGGAATTCAGGAATCCGCCCTCCTTCGCATTCAGCGGATTCATAAACTGTGTGTATCTGCTTGCGTCGCTCTGCACCGTTCTTGATGGTGGCTAATGTGTATGCAGTATACGGGTGGCCGAATGGCTTCGCTTTCGTACTGAGCTTCCTCGCCCCGCTGTGGACAATCGGTTAGCAGCGATGTACGGGGTTTTGTTCAGCCTCCATCTAACATGAAGCAGGTGGTTTCGACGGTCCTGTGCACGTCAGCGAGGAAGCATCCAACGCCCGAACGGCCGTACCATGGGCAATCATCAGTGCAGTTGTCGTTTCAAGCGTTCTAGGATGGAGTACGTTGACCTACTGCGAATGGTCTGCTCACCTTCAGAGACCAAGCGCTAACTACTGAGCACTAACTTTGCGTAGTCATCAACATCGTACTCTCTCTATGCATGGGTACGGACATGGAGGCCATCATGACGAACCCTATAGGTCAGCCCATGGCGACGGTATGTGTCCTCTTGTGACTTTCCCGCACCTGGAACCTCTACAGCCCTCTTGCCATATTGATTTATCTTCATCGTAGATCATCTTCAATAGCCTAGGACGGAACGGTACTCTAGCTGTTTGGTCAATTGTTGTGATTGTACAGTGAGTGCTTCATGTGAATTAGATGGGACGATCTAACATATGCACAGATTCCTCATGGGGTCCAGCAGCGTAAGTCTACTATCTAAACCTGCTTGAGGCCCGTCATTCACGGTGCTCAAACTCTCCAGCTCGTCGCTGCCTCGAGGCAGATGTTCGCCTTCGCTCGTGACAAGGCCATTCCTTTCTCCGGACGCATCTCTCACGTCAACGACCGCACCCGAACTCCTGTGACAGCCGTTTGGGCATCCGCCTTCGTAGCGCTTGTCATCGGTCTCATTGGGTTCGCAGGACCCATCGGAAGCTCTGCTATCTTCGGCCTCTCAATCGCAGGCCAGTATACGGCATTCAGCATCCCCGTCATGTGCCGCTTCCTGGGAGGCAGGGAATGGAAGCCTGGACCATTTACGCTCGGCCGCGCCGTACGTATGCTTTACATCTGCTTCCTTACGACATTGTCACTTACGACAGAATTCGCGCCTTGCGGAATTCATTGATCCCAAATAGGGAGTGCCTGTCGGGATCGTCGCAGTGGCGTGGATGATCTTCGCAATTGTTATCTTTGCCTTCCCCTCTGCACCCGGCCCGGACGCTGAAGGGATGAACTACATGCCGGTCGTCTATGGGGCTTGGATAGGCTTCTGCCTGTTGTACTACTATATGCCCGTATACGGTGGTGTGTATTGGTTCAATGGGCCCCGAACCACCATTCACGCCAATCGAACCGCGCACACGTACACTTCGCGCTCGGATGAGGACGCGATCCCCGATACTTCGAACAGCGTCGATCGCCCGAGCGAGAAAGGATCCGCCGCATCTGCGCTATCACAAGCGCATACCTAAATCTGGATATAGACCCAGACATGAGGCGCGTGCATTTGTGGTAGCCTATGTACGCGGCTATACAAACTGATGGAATTGCCGTGTTCGGATTTGTTGGCCCGTGTGTCCACCACAGTAGGCGGGACCCTCGCATTGTTGAGGATCAGTGGCGGTCCAAGACTATTCGTGACGATTGTCTAGAAACGTCGGGAGGCGGAGTCGGAGGTGCGGGGAGTCGGAGTACAGTACGTGCGGCGTCCTAGGTAGACGCCAGGTGAGACGGTGAAGAACATCTCTAGTATACAAGGGCAACCCAATTCGTTCAGAAGTATTCGATGAGTTTCTCGATCGTCTCCTTGTCGTTATTTCCAGTCATAAATGTCTGCAGGAGCTGCGTGCGACGTTGGAATCAGCGATCTTCGCCTGCACACATACCGCCACACAGGCACTCACCTCGTTGACGCCCAAGTACTTCTCGATGAACTCCTCGCCAAGCGCGGTCTTCAGAACGGCGTCCAAGCCAAGCGACTTACGCGCATCTTCAATCGTCTGGGGTAATCGAAGCGCATTCGCCAGGCCCACTGCCCGCTTCTCTGCATCGCTCATCTGGAACGCCGGCGTCGGACAGTCGCCCGTCGTCAGTACCGCGCCATCCAAGATACCCCTCAAGCCCGCCCCAAGCAACGCTGCGAACGCAAGATGCGGCGTGGCAGTCCCGTCCACGGGCCTGACCTCGAAGCGATAGTGGCCCTGCGGGCCGCAGAGCCGGACTGGAGACTCGCGGTTCTCCGTGCCCCAGCAGGCGAGCGTGCCCCCGGACCAGATGCCGTCTTGCATGCGCGCATACGACGCTGCAGTGGGAAGCGTCAGGGCGCAGATCGCCGGGAGGTGCGCGAGGACACCTTGGAGGAAAGACCGCTCGGCGGGTGTGAGATTGGGCGCGCTCGCAGCGTCTGCGGCGCGAGGCGCGTTATTGCCGCCGTGCACCGAGATGTTGGTGTGCGCGCCGCTGCCGGCTGTGCAGGCCGTGAAGATCATGAAAGCCATGGATCAGTGAGCCACGAGGTTATCCGTACAGTAGAGAGGAGGGGCGCGCACCGGAGTTGTTGTGAACCCTCGGTGCGAACGTGGCCTTGAAGCCGTGCTTGTGGGCAATGTTGTAGATGGCCTCTCTTGTGAACACGACTGCGTCGGCAGCCTCCAGAGGCGCGAGAGGGCCGGTGACTATCTCATACTGCCGCACAACAGGATTCAGCATCCAAGCATCCGACCAGGGCTAATCGCATGAGAGCGCAGCAACATAGAGGTGCACGCAAGAGCACGAGGCGACAAGCCGTGGAAGCCATGTAGCCGATAGCGGCTTAATGGTAGCTTCACCACTTTGATCGCCGGAGAAGAAGCCAGAGCCGCACGAAGGCGTAACAAAGAATGAAGACGTCAAGTAGGCTCGTCGCTCACCTGTCCCGGGGCTGCTTCCGCATGGTACATCTGAAGTTCGATGCCGGCGACGAGGAGGCATTGCGCGATCTCCTCGAGCGCCTGCGTCTCGGCACTCCCCGTGCGCAACTTCGCGGACGTGGACCAGTCGGCGTTGGACGCATACGCGACCTCCGGCCTTATCTGCGTCACCAGTATGAACTCGAACTCCATACCTATGAGGAACGACACTCCCGCTTTGTCCTGCGCTTCCCTGGATGCACGGAGTCAGTATCCGGATTTCCGTTCCAACATAAGACTTGGGCTCGGACGAGACACTGTCTGGGCCGCCACTACAGGCTGCGAGCTGCAGATTGCAGCTTCTCGGGGTGGGGGCTGGGACGATCGGGCAGCACGAGGCCGGGTGAGCCTTCTTGGCAACGTAAACATGCCGTGCTCCCATTCGGAAGTATGCGAGAAGAAGAAGCAGGTGCCCCGCCAGTCCGACGTAGTCCGATGCGCTTCTCGAGGCGGTTCATATGAGGTTACGTAACGCAGCGCACTCGTCCACCTACAACAGATCCAATGCGAGCCCAGATATACGCTGTTGAAAGAGCGCACCGGCCACTAAGTGGCTGCTGAGCGATCCAGGCGACCAGCGGACCGCTGAGCGCTGCCTCTGAGTCAAGTACGAGCGCCACGCCAACGGCGGTCACGAATGCGTGCGCCACACGACGGCGCCGCGAATCGATATCCCAACAGCACGAGCCCATCGAGCCCAGCGGTGAAAGCACGCACTTCACCAATCTGTCGAGGATCGTCCGCGGGCAGATCGCGACGGACAGGCCCGTCTCCGGGCTCGGGGTCCTCTCCTCGAACCAGCCCATGACGGACGCGTGGCCCGGGGCGTACGGGCAGACGCGCCAGCTCGCGAGGTCGGGCACGTATATGTACCCGCCGACGGGCGAGAAGCCCGGGGCGGTGGCGAGCCCGACGAGGCCCAGGGCGACCGTGCCGAGGCCGACGCCAGGGCGGGACGCGGGGTTGGCGTAGAGCGCGCGGAAGTAGCTGGCGGGGACGACGCGGAAGCGGACGGTGTTGATGAAGTCGATCCACTGGATGCGGACGAACTTGATGGCGGGGGTGAGGAGCTCGTCGACGCTCTTCGCGGGGATAGACGAGGCGGTCGGGTCGGGGGTGTAGAGCACTCCGTACGGGCTGGGCTCGGTTGGCATGGGGGGGGGTGTCGTCCTAGTAAGATTTGGAGGTTATGTAGCTTGCTGCAACCACCCGCTGTTTTCTGTGTCTATGAGAAACCTGCAGTACCTGGGGATACGAGGGATGTATAAGTCTAGTAGTCTCAGGTTATCAGCCTCATGCTCTACGAGATTGGTGAGTGGTTCGCGCTCACCGCGAGCGTATGTACAACCTGCGTTGTGAAGTACTTGAGGTCCTACCTCTTCAACCGATCGCAAGCAGTGAGTATCCTAGTGGGTTTTATGGCTCTAGGAATGTGTTACTGGGTAAGTGCACAAGAGACGACTGCCCGATCTCGATGTCTTCACGACCGAGACGAGGAGGAAGTGTGCAAGCTAAGCGTGATCTTATCGGGCGCAGACCGCTTGACCTTCATGAGCGCTCCTCCCCCCATCCGATGTTTTCGGGGTGAGGTTCTGCTCTGGGCTCGGGTTTGGCATGCTGAACTTTTACCCAAAGCTCGCTAGCCGCTTGTTCGCCTGCCAAGTGCTCTTGCAGGTGCCGGCGGTATGGCTCTGATTGCATATGATACACGAAAGAGGGCCCGGGAGGGTTTTAGGAATCCAACAAGGCCGATCGCCGGACACTCTGTAGTCAATACTTGCAATATATATACCTGACACCGCGCGCACTATAGGCCACAGCACACAGGACAGTAGCCAAACGCCGAACGTACGCACGCATGCACATACACCTCCACAAACTAGTCAAACCGGCTTGGCCCTCGACACTGCTCGGCTCATCAACCCATCTCTATCTCTCCGGGTTCTGTACAGACTGAGGCCTAACCGCTTGGGTTTGCCTCCTTCCTATGTGACGTCTTGCATAAGACCAGATGGTGCAATGGCTTAATCCCGGACGACAGGGACGCATGCTGTGCGTGTGGACCTGGGGAGGGGAAAAGTATGGCAGGGCGCACTAGTACACTTTACGCATAGGCAATCCGTCCGAGGAGGCCGATATGACGACAGCGTGTGCGCGATGGAACCTGTCAAAGGCGAACGACCCTGCATTTGCTCAGTCGAGGGTGGCTTTCTGTCTGTCTTCGGGAGCGAAGGAGGACGTGCGCTGCCCGGACGACGGTAGCCGGTGCCCGACTGACTACGCGGCAGCGTCGCGAAGGGAGGAAGGACAGGGCGACGGAGATCGAGGCTCGCTTCTGCGGCGAGAGGCACAACAGTTAGAGCGGCGGCTCGAGATCAAAGTGAGCGGCGGGTGGCCCACCTACTGATGCTAGGCACACACGACCGTCGGCGGAGACAGGAGATATGTCGAGATGGAGAAGAGAAAACCATGGAAAAGGCGGCGGAGGTCGGGCCAGTACTTACTCAGGGCACCGGCTGACTCCAGATCTCGGCGCTGCGGGTCGGAGAGCTAGGCGGGAGCGTCGAGCTAAGAGATTCGGCTCCGTGAAGCCTACGGGCAAGACCCTTGTTTTTTAATCTGTCGTCATACTTACTGCAGAGAGTAGCATCGCGATCATGCAGGCCAGCGCCATGATACTGCTGCGGGAACAAATGGGTGTCATACTGCAGCCGGCCACAGTGCGGGGGGAGCGCGCCGCCCCTTGCACTCTCGAACGCTGCAAGCGGGCGATGCGTGGCGGTCGGTCGCCGGAACGTCCGACATTCATGGCATACTTGGCAGGGTGAAGGGGGTGGGGGCGGTCACCCGTAGACATGCACGCTGCCTCTCCGGGCGAGGTTCCCTGCGCGCGGCTGCCTGATACCGAAGGCTGTCATGCAGGCGCAAGATAGGGCAAAGGAGGATCCGGGTTCTGCGCGCGACGGAACCTTGCGCTGGACCCGAGTGGGCGAGGGAGCAGCCTTGGGGGAACGGCATGAGGCGTGCGGTTGAGTTTGTTCGGCGCGCGGTGACGTACCTCGCGCTAGCTCTGATGGCCAGGCGGGGTGCTCGGGCGTACGGCGTGCTGTGCTCGGGCCACTGTGTGTCTGCGGGCACTGAGGGACCAGGGACGGAGGCGACAGAGAAGGAGGAGGACGAGCAGCGGGCATAGTTCCTGGGCAACCTGAGAGACGGAGCGCCAGACTGGGAGAAATGAAAGGCGAGGGCTGGGTGGATGCAAGCTGCAAGTGCCTTGCTGTATGTATTGCTGTCTTGAAGGCCGGGTGAGCAGGGTTAGCGCTGGGCGAGGTGTTGTAATATTGGGGACGGTGTGGTTGTCAATCTGGCTGTCGAAACGGGTTTGGGTGTGAAAGTTTCTGATCTCGTGTGATCGATGTGCTGCCCGTCCCCCCCTGACGATCTGCCCAGGAGGGCGTCCGCTCCCTTGCGTGCGCACGGCTCAGCAGTGTGCGTTGGCCGTCGCGCGGTGTGCCTCTGGGCGTGCGTGCGCGGACGATGGCAGCGGACACAGGCCTTGGGAGGCTAGAAGAGATCCTGGGGGAGAGCAGCGGCGGGGGCTAAATTGAATACGAGCGGGAGGCGCGCAAACGCAATCAGAAGGGAGGCGCCTGGGCCGCACGGATCGTACCAAACTGCTGGATTGGGGCCCTGGAGGCCGGGACCGCTGCGGGAGATTGGGATGGCGCTAGGAGGGATGGAGTACAAAAAGACCGGAATGAAGCCGTCGTGGTGGGCGTTGAGTATGAGGAGGGGCAAGCGGGCGTGCTGAGAACTCTCGCATAGGGTGTGCCGGCAGGATCGAAGCAGGGGGCGAAGCGAGGCGTGGGGAAGAGCGGGCCCAGCGGGAGAAAACGAGGCTCGCGACAGAGGACGCAGGCTGCGTGCTCCTGCTCCCGACGGCCTCCCTCTCAGCGCACGCCCCCGCGCACGCCCCCGCGCAGCCGATCCGAGTCTTGTCCACGTCGTCCCGAAAGATGCTCACCGTCGACCATTTTTACGACGAATCCGCGCCCGATCACTCCTGCCAACGTCAACCGGATCCAGATGCTATATTCATGCACGACCCTCCCTTCCACCTATCTCTCCCCCCTCGTCCCCTCGAGCCCCCAAACGCCCCTCTGCGGCCCATAAAGTTCATCTACCTCCTTCATGCCTACTCTCTCGCACCCAGCATGCCTGCCGGTGAGTTACTAGTCGACCCCCTTCCCCGCGCCCCCGCCCCAATATCCCGCGTACACCATCCTCGCCCCGCCCCCGCCCCCGAGCCCGCTCCGTTCCCCTCCAATCTGCACCTCCTCGCTCTCAATCACGACGTCCTCCGTGCAATCATCGACTCCTGCCCTGTCGACGATGCCCTCCAGCTCGCCCTGACATGCAAGGCTGCCTATGGCTTTGCTATGCCCCACATCGTCTCAGACGTTTCCATCGGTGACCCCGGTGTCGACGACGGCCCCGACCGTCTGACGAAATTCTGCCAGTTCATGCTCAACAAGCCAGAGTTCGCCAAGGCCCTTCGCGCACTGCGTCTCCTCGACGGCGCGTTCGCCCGCCCGGCTAGTTCTGGGGGACGGTCTGGGTGGGGCGCAGACTTCTCTCCCGCTGGCCTTCTCACCAAAGTCCTGTCCACCGCGGTGAACCTCCGTGTCCTCCACATACGCGACGCGGAGCCCCTCTTCCAGTCGCATCCGGCCGTCTACGAGGCCGTCACGAAGCTCGACAGACTGAAGGTGCTCTCGCTGTACTACATCGGCAACACCTGCCTCAAGGCCATCTCGCAGCTCCAGGGCAAGCTGCAGGTCATCGAAAACGGTTTGTGGAAGGACGGGCCGCGGCCACAGGGCGACGTGACGCCGTTCGGACGGTACGTCGACTCGCTGCGGCACATCCGGCTCTGGGAGTGCGGCTGCATGCTCGAGAGCGTCATCGACCGACACGTCTGGCCGGACGTGCACACGCTCGACATCGGCGGCCGCATCGCGAAGATATCCGAGCTCGCCCGCGCGTTCCCCAACCTCCGCCGCCTCACGTTCCACATGGAGTTCTCCGTCAAGCAGGAGACCCGGTGGTCTGCTGGCCGGAGCTAGACTATCTCGAGACGAGCGCCCCTATCCCGCTGTTCCCCTCGCGCGTGCGGCGGCTGCAGCTACAGTACCCGATTGGCGCGAGGTCAGGGTCCCAGAACGACCTGAAGACGCTCCCGCTCATGGAGAAGGCGAACCCGGTCGTGCTCTCCGTCACGCTCTCGCACACGGTCTCGGAGGTCTTCCTGGGGCGGATGAAGAGCTCCATGCCGTCGCTGCGGTATATGGAGATGGTCGTCAACGACGGGGCGTGCGGCCGCGCCAGCATGCAATGGCAGACGTTCGAAGACTGGGTCGTGCGTGTTCTAGCTCGTTCTGACCCCCTCGCTTGCGGAGAGCTCACCTCACGTTCCGTAAAGGTGCGAAACCTTGAAATCATGCGGCAAACCTCGCTGGTGGGCCTCTGCATCTCGTACACGGGCGCAGGGTCCACGTCCACGATTTCGGTCCAGCACCGAAATCGCATTATTCATATAGCGCGCCTGCTCACACGGACCATCAGCACCTTGCAATATATCGGCGTGGGGTACCACGATGGGAATTTGGGAATGTACGCGTCCGATTGCCTTTGGTTCAGGGCTACCGGGCGAGACGCGGAGGCGTCGACGCCCGCTACGCTGCAGCAGCTGTCGAGCGCGGACGGAGAGCGGCGCAGGGAGATCCTTCTGAGCACCCAGAGGGACGAGGATCATCGATGGTAAGCCGTTCGCCCAGTCCCGTGCTGTGTATGGGCGCTGGTTTGACGCTGCTCCACAAAGGTCTTCTTGTATCTGAATGCTCGTATGATTGTTTTGCCCTCGGATCTCCCGCTGGCCTTCTCGTCCGCTGCCAAGTTGTCTCTTGCCGCCCTTGCCCTGGCGTGTCGTGTTCGGTCATGACAGAACGTCCTGTTGTTCCGTTTCGCGTCAGTCGTGAAATTGTAGCTATGTGTCATCTGCTGCCTCCCGTCGTGCTCGTCTGCCCAGCCCCACCGGATACCACCACTGTGTGTCATTTGTGCTTTCCCTGTGTATACGTCTTGCCACGACCCGCTTACTGTACCTGTAACATACTCCCTTAGCCTCGAATCCCCACTTCGCCGCCTACTTATTGGAAGCCTACCGTCACCCCCTCAGTAACGCCCAGGATGTGAACCCGCTGATTTTGCCATGCGTAGTATGTACCATATCGTCGGTTTGGTTCTCTCAGGGTCTCTCTCCCTCCCCCCGCGCGCCTTCTGGCTCTGGCTCTTATCTCTTCGCCCCCCTACCGCCCCGCTGCCCTTTTCTTCGACGTCCCCGCTCCCTTCTTCCAGGTGCCTCGCTCGCTCCGCTCCGGACGGTCCCGCACGGTTCTGCCATAGATCTCCTGCCCTGGTTCCACCGCTCTGCTGCCGTGCCCTACATTGTGCCTGCAGCCCTCGTGCAGATGGTGTTCGCTATGCTCACGAATAAACGTCCCCGTGCATACGCGAACCGCCCGCTCGCTCCGACGCACTAGCAACACACTCTTCGGCCCGTGCGCATGTGTCGCTGCGGGGATTAATTTGAGGAATAAGGACTATTGACGGGGGTACGTGTAAGGGCACCTGGACCGCGCGCGTGACGCGGTGAGCGCGGCTGGAAGGCCGCGTTAACCATACTGGGGATCGCCGTCGCATCGGTGCTGTGTCTTCTGAACTCTCTCTTTCGTATGTTTATGTGTAGCGCCGTTGGCGAGCCGCCGGTCCCGCCGAGTCCGTGGGAGGACGTGGGGAAGGGAGAAGGTGTGGTGCTTGATGGGGGAGGCGGATTGCCTTTGGGAGGACGGGGGGCGGTCCGCGCACGCCCGGTGGCTGGCGTGAAAGTTACCGTTCAGCTCAGGTGGGGTGTTCGGCGCGCGGGCTCAACTACTAGTAGTGAGGAGGACGCCGTCCTCTGCGGTGGTGAATATACGACACGCTTCGAACGGGTAGAAAGGCTTCTGTTCATATTGAGAGTGGGGCTACAAGTATGGTAGTCTTCCCCACAACTCGGACTCCGGGGACCGGAGCAGTCCTTGGTCTTCGCATCTGGGGCGGGGACGAGTCCGGGAGATGTCGTTCATGGGCACGATACCCCGCACCGCGGCCTGATATCCAGCATTGATAAAGGTATCACGATCGACTTTGCGTTTGCTTTTACCGCCATGTCTCCACATCAATCGCTTAATGGCCAAACAGCACATTGTAAGCAAAAGCGGGAGAGGACCTCGGTACGTACGTCTTCTGGCGACTGATCAGGGGCAGTCGAAAGCGATCGACGAGAACTGCAGGCGGGGCCACTGTCAAACTGCCTCTAGCCAGGGTGTGTCTAACCGCGAACTGTATGAGTGGGGCATGGCGCTGTTATGATTTGAGAAGCTCGATCATGCTATAATTATCCCGGAGAATACGCCAATCATACAGCACGATGTACAAGAGGCCAGTATGCGAAGTGCATTGGGCTGACATGGCGGCAGCTTGCAAGGGGAGTGACGTCTGGAGCTAGGAAGTCACTTCACGGGCGAATAGGGAACCTGGTATGTCATTGATGCTGAATTGGATAGGTAGCGCACGATAGCTAGGCACAGCCTCTCCTGTAGGAGCGACACGTTGGGCAAAGGAAAACAGTATGTTTAAGATGGGTCAGACGATAGGCAGAGATAAAATCGACGTATGTACTACTGCCGTGAAAAATTGGGCCAGCGTACCATAACGAAGGGGAGTCCTATTCTGGGCAAAGCCGAATTATCAGTGGCCTGAGGCATTATTCCCTGAAGAGTATGTTAGCCACACCATGGGTCGTAGCTTATTCCCAGTGAAAACGTGCTTGATTAAAATTGATTAGGGTTGTGTGAGGTCGTGCCCGGCTGTAAATACTGGCGTTGTGTCGATATAGGTCGGACGGCAGTGTTTAGCGCCCATCTGACGTCCGTGAATCCACCATGTTGGCGAGATCGGACACGCATGTCTCTAAGGGCATCATGTCTGCCGTACCGGTACCTCTGTAGCTGTCGCTTTGCAACCCCTTAGCTTGTCACTCCGTATTGCCTTAGCTTGCCGCTCCGTAGTACTTGTCTTAGCTTAGCTTGTGCTTGTCTCTAGCGTTGCATGCTCCAATCTCGCTCCGCCATGTAAGATTTCTGCTTCCTCTTGGTGCTTTCTCCCATCACCCAACTGAGCCAGTGATCTACAATCCATCTCCCATTTTTCTCACTAAGGGACCATGTCATAATGCCCTCTTCAAAACAACTCTATTGTGATTGTCTACAATACGGCAAGGTCCAGAGACGCGAAGTCTCTGTTCTCCGGCGGCGAAAACCTGCCCTAAACATGGTGACGTCATTGGGGTGGAGTCGCTGCTTGCGCAGACCACCGCCATCCCCCATGTTCCCCAACTCTCTTCTCCTCCTGCTTGCCTAACGGCCAGTATGGCACACACCCCTCCCTTGGTCAGAACACAGTGCACACGCCGTTCTATACGTCATAAAGGTATGTTGGAGTTTGGGAAAGCTATGAAGGTGCGTGGTGGTTGAGAGGATAAGTACAAGGTGAGTTTCGTATATGGTACCATCGCTGTTGCAACATCATTCCAGGTGAGCCTCATCACCAATGTATCTTGGTGGTATGTGTTCCCCTCCACTTCCCCATTGTATGCGCCTGCCCTTCTTGTATGTGAAGACTACAGCACAGAGACGGTATACACAACCTGCTGGACAGAAGGCCGCCTGCAATCCTGGACGATACACTATGTTACGTCGTTTCAACTCCCTTCCCAGCTCATCCATCCAGGTTCTGCCTGGCGCATGCAGCTGCTTGAGGTGATGTTTGGTTCTGTGCCTCATGACTACATATCTGCGCGCTGAAGCATCCTCTTCTCACTCTCGACTCTCCTTAGCATGTGTCCCAGCGAAGTAGCGTTCACAGATTTCAAATGCGCCCAACAGTAGCTGTATCATACCATGTAGTAATACAATCCTATACGATGGAATACCGTTTTTTCCACCCATATCATCCAATAGCGTGCTCGAATCTAGTAAACGAATAGACCCGATATCGCTCTACTGCAACCAATTGCTGACAGCCGCCGACGACTCTAATCGACAGCAGTCGTATTCTACTGGGTCCTTCAGACTACCTTATACCGCCGAATACGACAGCCGTCGTATATAGTCCGGATGGTCGTAAAACTTCGGGTTGCACGACTACATACGATCGAATTCGACCGAATTCGACCCGAATCGGGCACGTTCTCACTGGGGCTTATTACTGAGTGGGGGGTTGGGCCTGGATCGCCAGTTTTGACGGGCTCCCGTTGCGACGCGCCGACTCGCGCTGGGGTGCGCATAGGAACTGGTTCTCACAATGACGTTAACATGTGCCATTCTGGACCACCGGATGACCTTTCTGGGCAGATCGTTACTACTTCGACAAAATTGGGCCCCGTCCTCGTCCCAAGAGTCCGATCCCCTCGTTGGGTACCAAGATGGACAACACCGGTCCATCTATGCACTGATCAAAACCACTTACGTGACGTCAGGAATACTCGACTGCGGACGATCCGAGGACGCGATCTCGAAACTCACTTATTCAGCGAGCTCCCCCACTAGGGTGCGATGCTATCCGCAGTGCGGGTCTTCCTACGACCATCATAGACGGCCAGCTTCCTATTGTTGCACGAGCTCAGCCATCTGTCTTCCATGTCTCGTGAGGTGCCTGGACGTGCCTGTGACGACCTGGGAAGCGCTCTGACTCGGATGCACTCGCCGATGTATTCCCAAGAAAGATACTGGCAGGTGAGTGCGCGAGGGCGTACAGCGATGTTCACCTAGATCCACTGGTACATTTCAGTGTGTGAACATGACGGCATTTGCACATCTGCTGGACACCGCTCACCTGAGCTTCACTTCGATTCTCAGGCTGTATGCGCACGTCATACAGTTGGGGGCGGATCAGGTGCGGATGGTCGTCCACTGATCTCGGACACGAGCAGTGAACGTGAAGGTATACGTACTTGAACGCGGTGATAGGAGATCAGACAGCTTCGTGTACGCAATAGGACGGGGTTCGCCTCGCGGGTAGGCAATGAGGCATCGGGTAATGCTGCATGGCCTTTTCACCGCTTACTATCGGAAGCTCGTAAACGTAAGGGCTTCGACGCCTCCCGCGACCTTGCGTCGACACTTCGCCTTGGTCGTTCGAGTTTCAGGCTGTGTCGATTGGAGGGAAGAATCAAGGTGGTTGAGCGGGCGTTACGCAGCACTGGCGCCTAAAGGGGAAGATCCTGAGCTGCACTTTTGCGGGCGCATCCGTGCCTCATCAGTGCGCCGCTGTACGCCTTCCCGGCCGTTCCTTTGAGAGAGAGGAGTCCCATGTCGTAATGCAGCGAGCTAGTGGGATTCCAGGCCTGTATGGCTTCGAGGAGCGAGCACACATGATTCGAACGGAGGTGGGGTGTGAGGCCCGCTAAAGGATGCGAGCCACGTGGCGGTGGGAGTGGGCAGAGTCAGAGGGCGGCCAAACAACGGCCAAACAAACAGCTCTCCTGTAACCGTTCTGCTCGCTGTTGACGACGGCGTCCATGATGCCTGCCCCCTTCTCCGCCCCGCACGTCCCCGTGCCTCTCCCCGCTCTTTATCTCTACCCGCTGAACGACTCGTTTGTACCGAAGCACATCTCCCTCGTCAACAGCCAACGCGTGAAGATCGGTCGCCAAACCAACGCCAAGACCGTCCCCGCAGAGCGCAATGGCTACTTCGACTCGAAGGTTCTGAGCAGGCAGCACGCAGAGGTGTGGGAGGAGAATGGGAAGGTACGGTTTTGCGTATCGTTGGGCCCCGAACGGGGGCTCGGTGACCGTGTCGCGCTGACGGCACCACCGCGTCATCAAGATCTTTATAAAGGACGTGAAAAGCTCGAACGGCACGTTCATCAATGGCGAACGGCTGAGCCCAGAAGGGCTTGAGTCCGAGCCGTACGAGCTCAAGACGGACGATATTGTTGTACGTCCAGCTTTTCGCAGGTACAGCGCGATGTTCGCCTTTGTCTGACCAGCCGCCCGCTCCAGGAATTCGGTATCGACATCGTCGGCGAGGACAACAAAACGATCGTCCACCACAAGGTCGCGGCACGCGTCGTATGCGTCTTCACAGAGCTCGACGCGCAGGCCGCGCAACGCGCTGAGGCGCAGGCGCAACAGCAGGGCGCGCAGGGCTATATCAATGCCATGCCCAATCAACCCGGAGCGGGCAACAGCGCGTTCAACTTTGTTGGGAATGGTCAAGGGAGTTCGAACGGCGCCCCGGGTCCGCAGAGGCGACCGACGCTGCAACAGGGCTTACAAGGGATGGGCGGTATGGGTGGGAACGTCCGCGTTCCCGGGAAGAGCGGGCTCACTTTCGACCACATTTTGAGCCGATTGCAGGGCGAGCTGCAGAAGAGCAGAGAGACGGGTGCAGAGTTACACTCGTTGAGCAATGGACTCGTGGAGATCCACGATACCCTGGGTGGGAACCTCGTACGTCCATTGTACATACTCGCATTCCGTCTTTCTGACATCAATCATGTTCCGCAGCCGTCGAATCTCCAACCATATCCGGCGACGTTGCCGCATGTGATGCCAGCGCAGGCCGCTCGTGCCCAGGAGGAGGCGGCACAGCAACAGCAGCAGCAGCAGCAACGGGCGCAATCAGAGTCGTCTACAGCTGTGGTTGAGCTCCAGGCGCAGCTCCAGGAGACTCAGCGTTCCCTTGCTGACCATGTAGATAAGGTCCGCACCCTCGAAGGCATCCTTGCTGAGCATGAGGCGATCAAGCAGGAGGTTACCTCGCTTCGGGCCGCGATGGAGGAGAGGAAGCGAGAGATGGAGCTGATCCGCGTCACCAGCGCCCGCCGCTCACACGAGCAACACGACGATGACAACGATTTCACGTCTGATGATGACGATGCGAGGAGCGTCTCGACAGTCGTACCTCACGAGCTCGAACGGGTCGACGAGGAGGATGAGGAGCAGATCGCCGCCGAGGAAGAAGAGGAGCACCGGAGACGACGAGAGGAGCTCGGCCGTCCGCGCACGCCGGAGCCGACGAGCATGGGGATGTCTGAGGACGACGACGAGCACGAGCAGAGGCGGTTCCGCAAGAGGGCGACTCCCGACCGACGTCCTCGATCTCCTTCACCACCTCCCCCCGCGCCCGCCGCCGTTCCTGATGAGCTTACCGACCGCCTCAACACCCTCGCTAAGCAGCTGGAACTGGCGCTTGAGCTCTCGCGCACCCTCGAGGCCCAGCAAGCCAGTGCTCAGTCAACGATCTCCGTCCTTGAGGCCAAGGTTTCATCGCTTGAGAACCTCGTCCAGGTGACGCAGTCACAGGTACAGTCACAGGCAGAGGTCACAGAACAGCTTCAGGCATCCGAGGCCGCCCGGGCCGCCGCACCGCAGGATCCGTCTGTTTCCGCCGCTGCAGTCGAGGAGGCGAGGAAACAGGAGCGCGAATCGCTTACGGCGATGTTCTCTGAGTGGAAGAAGGGCGTGGAGGGGAGGTGGAGTAGCGTGCAGGAGGACTGGTCGGAGGAGCGTGAGCGGCTGCGGCGGGCGAAGGAGGAGTGGGAGAGCCGCATGCGCTCGGCGGAGGAGACCGTCTCGAATGCGGTACAGAAAGTTGATACGGGGCTCCTCTCCCTGGCGTCCTTTCAGGCCCAACACCAGCACAGTCTTACTAACGGCAGTGCGAAACCGCACACGAGTGGAGGACTCGTCACCCCTCCGAGTCCCCGGAGCCTATCCGCTGAGTCGACACGGCCACGACAGCGACGAAAACGCGTGAGCACGTCAAGAGGGCGCACTCGGTCTCGGTCTATCTCGCCTCCCATTACGGACGACATGACTGCCGTCCACGATGCGGATGGCAGCGAAGCTTCGTTCTCTGGTCCCCGGCGTCGGTCCCCCTGGTCTGTGGATGACTCGAGCGATTCGGAAGGTCACCAGCCGAGCGATCGTGAACGAGCGGATGCAGTTAGCGGTCGTGAGCAGAAGATGCCATTCCCAATCACTCCTGAATCGTCCGTTGTGAACCAGCCGATCTCGACGAAACCAAGTGTAATAGTGGCAGCAGGTGCTGGCGCAACAACAACAGATGCACGTGCACATCAGCCACCTAAGGCGCCCGTAAGTAGCAGAGGTTACTTGAGTGGAATTGATGTGCTGACGGCGTCGTCTTCGATTTAGGTGCCATATCATCATATCTCGCAGGTGTTTGGTATCGCGGTGTTGGCGGTAGCCGCTGCAGCAGTGTTTTGGCGTGTGAAGCCAGAAGTATCGACATAGAGATAGGATCTGTAGCAGCAAGCAAAAATGCATGCAGGTGAAGGATCTTTCGTCCACCCAATCCCGACGTGTCCCCGCGCCCCCGACCATATCTTCTGACCCCTCGATATCCCGGAATTCGTCGTCTCCTTCGCCTCCGCCCTTTGTACTCCGCATGCCTCCCTCACCTGGATAGTTAATACCTTTGTCATGATCTCTTGCCCTCTGTCGCCGTTGTCCTTTCGTGCCCACTACCGCCTGTCTGCGTGTGCATTCCGCAGCAGTCACCGACCCTCCTTCCGTCTCCCTTCCTCACTCTGTCCCGCGCTCCTCCTCCTACCTCGCATCCGCATACATATGTACATAGGCGTCTCTCTCCTCTCATCTCTTCGTCTCGTCATCCATGTCTCCTCTACTTGCGTCGGTTGGTATTTAACGAACCCTAATGACTACTTCTATCTTATGATCGTCCCTCCCGCATCGTGTTTGGATCTCGTACAGGCGGATGTGGAATGTCACGGCGTGGATGCCCGTAGCCAACTATGCAAATACAATCCAACGGAACCCGTGGGTCTTGAGTGTAACCGGCAGCCGACGCGCCGGCGCTGTGGAGGAGAACGTCATCGTTGGTGCTGGTATGTTCGAGGTTCACTTATGTCCGGCAACTGAACAGTATGACTATGTCTTTATGTGGCGCGACTCTAGCTGTCACACCTTGTCAAGCTTATAGGCCAGTCAATCTAGTAAGTACGCACTATTTTCATCTCGAGGGCAAGCGCAGATGACTGATGTGGTATCTTTGCAGCTTCCCTCGCTCTGCTTCACAGTGCAGCGGCAATTAGTCTTGCCCACAGAGCGCTACGCAAGATGTGTGGATGGACTTGGTCTGTGTGTTGTGTCTTCCGTTATCCAACGGTTTGTCATCAGAGCATACATCGCGGGGCTCAAGGTGTCTTCTTGCAGGACCTCGACATCTCCGGTACAGTGACCATGTGCAGCATCGTTTGTGTCACCGACATTCTGAGCTCTCGCAGGCTTTCACCTTGTCGAGCTATAAACACAGCCGAGGAACGCCCCATTGCTTAGTACATAGTAAGTTGCTTGCAAGCGCTTCTTCCAAATGATTCCGCTAAACCATTGGTAGGGGATGGATGCGTAGGTCAAACATTCGAGAGGCCGCAATGCGACAACTCTTCCATATACCGTTATAAACGGACATCGACTTGGCTACCATCCGAATTCAGATATGGTGGAAGACAAGGGATATTTCCCCTTCCCATCAGTGTATGAGATCTAACAGGCCGTTGCCGCTACAGGTATATGTCGTCTGTCGTCGCTGCATGTTATGTGTCGATGAGAAACCTTAGGCTCGTAGGAGCCTATCGCGTATACTCCGTCCCTGGAGCCTCTGCGTAGCACATCCCAGATTCACAGACAGGATGTGATGGTGACAAACAATTGTGTTTTAAGACGCTCTCAGGATCATGCTCTGCCACCGTGCTTTCGCAAAGGTTCTTAGCATGTTGATATGGGTTATCGAACATACCCGTATGGCATCTTCCAGGTGATTGACATCAGCCGAAGGCCAGCCAATGGTAACTTCTCTGTAATGGTATCGTAGGCGGGGGAGCTGAACTGTTTCATACTTAGGCGCTGCGCTGGGGCGATGCGGGCCACTTCCAATGGAGCGGAGCCAAGTCACTAACATCTGCTCGGGGTTCACTGTAACCTCCCGTTTTTGTCTCTCAGCATTCCCAGGGTCTCCCTGCTATCAATAACATCAAACGAATTGGAGGTGGCAACTGTGGCAGCTTATGATGTTGAAAACTTGCATGCAATCCACGTGGTATGCGCTCTTTCAATGGATGGAGTACAGTACCACAAGAGTTGACGTCAACCCTCAGCTTGCAGGTGGTAAGCACAAGTTGATGTTCTACTGTCTGTATGTAACTAAATGTACAACAGCAATCTCAGTGTGATCGTACATCATTGCGGTACGTTCTAGGCACCGATTTACTTGGATTGGCTGCGCTCAAAACCTTCTAGCTTCTCGAAATCGTCACTACTCCCAGAAGAGGTGTGTTGTCCGCATTCTATGTCGAATGTAGTGAACTCAAACTGGCTCTAGTTTCTTTTTGTTGACGAAGAACACAATCTTCAAGGGAGTCGAGTACTTCCTTTAGATTGGTATGGCACACTCGATTACAGGTCCAATATTTGTTCGGCCTGCGCCCGGTTCCTGACATTCTGACCTCTATCTAGGGAGTGAACCTTTCAGATACCGAGGTCACGTCTTACATCTCAGTGTGTGGGACCTTGAACATTCGAAACCTGTGACACCTGCCGTCGTGCGTGAGGCTGTCAAGGGCATTGCATTTGGGTACTCTGCAACATCATTGTAGGCTAAAATATCATAATCATCAACGCGGTACCCTTCCCAGATGCAGTTGTCTTCCAAGCTTTGTGCACCGCGTCAAAGTCCATCATTGACATGGGTGGTTTTCTATGCCGTACGGCCATTGTCTTGGTTGGGATATGGGAAACTTCACATCAGAAGGCCTGTTCGTCGTCGTCCAGATTCTTGTTCTGATCGCAAGTCTGCTGTTCATCTGTCATAGAATTTACTCCAGAGGTCTTCTCACCCCTTGCGCTATATGCGACGCGAAAAGCTCTGATAGCTTACCGATGTCAGCCTTCGATTGAGGCTGATGAAAAGTCTACTTGTACACTGCCATATCCGAGATATCTAGCCCGCTTTCGATAGAGACTACGACGAGAGTTACGTCTCTATCGGAAAATAGCCCATGAGGGACTTGCCACATGCTTCCAGCGATCAAGTGAACTAGAATGGAACACTAGCTCTTTCGTACCAGGAAGTCAAACCTGAGTGCCCTGGACACGACGAGTCTTAGATGACTTGTACAGTGATGGAGTCGTGTATCGTTGTGAACGAACCAGCAACGGCGTAGGAGAGTCAACCGGGCCCAGGTCTTTCTGTCGTCCTGCTCTTGCATTCGTTTACGGTACCATTACAAGGACATAGACTTCACTTTATCTATGTGCCCGTCGAGCAGGCTATATTCCGCGACTAGCTCTATTGGCCAAAGGCCTTCTCCGCGGGTTCCAGTGTATTCAACTATCGCCATCCTTTCCCCCTCATCGTACCGCAGACACCCTGACATCCGAGTCAGGTACGGGTGTTTCGCACTGCACCTTGGGACAGGTCGGCTGCGCTCGTAGACATAACACCCCACACCATGTCGACATTCTCATCTCTGGAGACGGTATAGAGCCATCACGTATGTGCTGGATATGACAGGATGGGCAGCAGAGTATCATACAGGTGCCTTTGCGTTCAGTCGCAAATCTGTCTATCATGACGTGGGACTGTAGCCGTTCCGACCGTCAGAGTGCTGACGGTCTGAGCCCGACGCTGCGATACGCACAAACTCCCGTGCCAAGGCGTGATCGACTTCCGCGAACGGTGGATCCCCAGCACAGCCCGAGGGTCCTTATCTGACTGTATTGCATGGCCGACGTCAATTTCGGCAGACACAAGTCTAAGAGCCTCGGAAGACCAAGGACAGATAAACACCATGTCTAGCTTATCTCTACCACCCCGCTGCTATTCCACAGTTTAGCCTGGTGCCCATCCGAAGCCACGGTCCAGGGACTTTCGAGAATCTGTGCCTGGGAATGCTTTGAAAGTCAGGGAAGGCTTGAAACCCGGTATACGGATAAGTGTCGGAACCGCACGTCCCGGCGACAATCCGACTCTGCGCTAACGTCGTGTCCGGTACTAGTGTGACCCCAGAAGCTACGGATTAAGCGCCTGACCCCAGAAGCTACTGACACGCCTCCAGTTCTCGCATTTCCCTGTCAAAAAGTGTGCACGGGTTACACGCGAGAAGATGTACTTCAAAAATATCATTGTAAAAAACAAAGAAGGAAATCGGAAGGGATTTGCTCCCGATACAAGTCAATCTCAGTAGGGTTTCAAGGGTTTACTGACCTTGGTGAGCTGCCACAAAAAGATCTGCAGCGCCGATCTTTCTGTAACTTCGCAAAGTGTTCTGAACATTCTCAATAAACTTTCTTGTTCAGTCTCCGAAGGGTTCCGGGTTGCAGTATTCGAAAGATAGGAAGAGGTCTCTCGAGCGTGACATTCAGCCACTGACCGAGATAAAGCTGACTTTCAATCTGAGCGCTTCGACAATGTTGCCCCGGCCAACTTCGCTATCAAACGACTGATAACAGCGGTGTTTGAATCGGCAGTCTTCGGCATTGTGACCATCCATGACAAT